AGGAGATTTAAAAGCAATGATGGGAATATTGCTTGGAAGGACATGACAGACCTGAGCTCCTTTTCTGAATCTGCCAGCCTCAGATGGCACATGTGAGCAAAGCTATCCCACCTTCCCACTACTGCAAAATGTGGCCTTTCTGTAAAGCCCTTGATAAAATACACAAACTCCAATTTTCAGATGTTGTGCCTTGCACAGAGATACCTGGGGGCAGGACTTTTTTCCCCTATTTGTTGGTGAGTGGGAAATGGAAGAAAAGTTTAGTCCCTTAAAAATAAGCGTCTTGTCCTCTATGTGCCCTGAATAAATGGCATCCCATGTTGAACTTTGCTGAAAATGCTTTTTTTTTTTCCCTTCTGAGAAAAGCTGAAAATGAGACCGCATTGATATTTTGCTGCAGAGTTGTTGCCTGTAGGTAGGCTTTAGATGGAGCTGTTCTATGGAAATCAATCCTGATAAAGCAATAACAGCTGTTATTTTACCAGCACACAGCAAGCAGAAAGAATTGCAGAGGTACCCCCACCACAGCAATGCTGCTTGGTAATTTGAAAACAATACATGACATAAAATAACCCAGATAAGGCTGGGGAACCACAGCATTGTTATTTCTCCTGTTCTGAAACAGCAGACTGTAAACACACACTCATGAAAAAAAGGGAATTATCCTACACCTCTATGTATGGCCAGTGAATAATATAATATTTATAATGCTGTTGAGACAGCTGTGTGAAATGGATTCTGTTTGGTTTGCTTTATTTTATTTTTGTTCTATTTTTGTCATCCTTCTGTCTGTGTTGCCTGCTATCCTACCTCTCAGTCCAATAAGGCAAAGCAAGCTCCTCTGCTTCCATGGACAGAGCAGGATTGTACCCTGTGAGCACCTTGAGGACTGGAGGGATGTGAGAGACTCCATTTCTTGAAAGTTCTTGGGCTCTTTTTTCTCAATCTATAAACAAGAAAACACCATCATCTTTCAAAATATAAACATTATTAGAAAGCCTCAAATGGGGACAGAATACACTGGTTTCAGAAAAAAAAAAAAAAAGTATTCATTTTTTTCCTCAAGTTTATTGATATATTTTATGAAGGCTCAAGGATGAAAGATTCTGAGGCAATATAATGGAGTATTATAATATTAATTTGCATCAATTTCTTAAAGAGATAATTCAATTATATAGTTCAGCCTTTAGCAATCTATTCTTTTAAAATCATATCTCTTTTTGAACTGTCAACCACTTGAAGGAACAGCCCTTGATTCTTTCTTGATTGTAAGCTAGATGAGGCAATTTTTCCTTGGGGAATAACATTAGCTAAATTAGGAACACTGTAATTTAAAGGTGATTAAGTACCTTTTGTGATTATTGTTCTAAGACTTCAATCTGATAACACTTAAGTGCATGTGTAATCTAGTCTTCCACAGGGCTACTCTCATTCATAAGTGGGTTTAAATCCTCCCAAGTTCAGGACCTAAATAAGCACCACAGTTAAACCTTTTATGGCACGTTGACAGAGCATGTATTTGTTCTGATTGCAATGACATTTCACACTTGTGCTTGGTGCATAAACAATAGGAATGCCTTTTAAAATTGGGATATTCTTTTTACCAAAGGAGAAAGCAAGGAACAGGAATGTGAATAGATACATTCTGGTCATAAGGCAAGTCTACTGGAACACCTGGGAACACATGGTGGACTCCTGACCCTCATGCATTTGTGTCCAGCTTTGCTCCAGCTGTACTTTGTGCCTTGGTGCTCAGCATGGGAGAAGCAGCAGGAATCATCCAGGCCAGGCAAAGTGACCAAGTAATTGCTCAACCTGCCCACTTATGTCTCGAGAAATTCTCTCCTAACTATCAGTCTTCTTGGGGTTTCAGTGGAATTTTTGTCAGCAGAGCACCCAATGTGTTGAAGGATGTCAGAACTTGGGCTACTATTGCACCACTGACAAATTTAGGTCTGACATCTGTTGGGGGCTGCTGAGCAAGATGCACTCAGCAGACCCATTGTCAAGAAGTGGTGCTGGCATTTGTCCATGCACCAGGATATTTTACAGAATGTCATCACTTGGTAATGAAATGCTCCCCGGTAATGATGGCTCACAAACACAGAAATAGCCTTTGCCCATAATAAAGTTTTGCAAATAATGCTTGCAGGAAGTGATTTGCTACGAATCAATCAAGCAGATCCCAGAAATAATGTGGCAGATGGTAACCCGACATTACTGCAACATCACCAAACTACTTCTTACTCGCACTTTAAACAAGCATTTGGACTCAGGTCTTTAAAGAAAAATGTTCACTCTCACTCTGCAGCTGGTTGAAGCTGAATTGTCACCCCACAGAAACTTCTATCTTTAGAAGTCAGTAAAAGGGAGGATAAAATTAAAAGTCTGAAATGTCCTTCAATGCAAAAAAAACACAAAAAACCATCAGTTATCAAGACTATTTTGATGCCTTCAGGCTATATGCCCTTTTTTTATTTTTAGCTATGTTAGGCTACAAACAAATACAAGTTTTAAATATAAAATTAACATAATCTTTGTTCTAAGTGATATATAAAAAAATAACAAAATAGATTTGAAAATGTTGGAAAGAACGAACACCCTCCTGTTTGCATTTTGATTTCTTGTTCTATGAATATATGTTTGTTGAAATCATCATGTCTTCATTTTTCATGCCCTAGAACCTTCTGAAAAAAAATATTCCACCTGAACAGTTTTGATTAGGTCTCTCTGGGTTGTGACTGGCTACACGTAAGTTACAGTGGTTTAAAAAGTTACTCATCATGACGTTTCTTATTTGCAAGGTAAAACCTATTATCTTACATTGTACGCCTAACTTACTTGTTATAACTGATTGAGATTTAAAGTTATTAATTTTCTGTTTATATCTGCATATTCTTTCATCACTGTATGAAGACTTGTTGCATGCCACAGAACAGGCAGCCCTGATTTATTTACAACAGTATCGGTGCAGTCCTTAAACAACAGCTTTACTTGCAGAAGGAGATTTTTCACTCTCCTCTCCCATGCGCATTGTTGCACTCTGAAACCTTTCTAGAAATGAGGTTAGCCAAGCCCCTGTTTGCACTAAAACAAGGATCATCCCAGAAATGGGGTGGCTGAAGAAAACAAAGTAGGCCACCAACTTTCCCTGCCGGATTGCTGGCTGTGCCTGTGTCCCACAGGAACGCTGTCACGCTGGTTCTGCGACAGCACCTGGAGCTCAGCCTGAGATGAGCAGTGTCATTATCACGAGCCGCTGGGGACATTCGCTGGGCTCGTCTTTGGGAGTGAGGGTCATGCAGAGCTCCAAATGAATCGCCTGCTCAGACCCATGCGGGTCACAGCAGAGGGAAATTGCTGCCACAACCTGCGCTGCCACGGCCCTGCTGGAGAGAAGGCACCGGTCCAGCCCTTTCCCTCAGAGATACGTAACACAGGATGCAATCCCTCATGTGCACCTACCTGGGTACTGGCTGAAGTGAAGCAAAAGGCACTGGCACAGACACTGGCTCTTCTGGGGCAGAGTTTCTAAGATAAATTTTAATAACTTGAATTCCATCTCAGCTGTGGCTGTTCGTGCAGAACTGCACGTATGAACGGAAAGACCCTTGCACTTCTTTCAAGGTCTAAGGCTTATTCTTCTGTACATCCACATTCCTGTTTCTACAGGAGTTTCGTACTAAAACACGTAGCAACACAGCCCGTGCTGCTCCCTCGGGGTGCGACCTCCCTGGGGTGAGCAGCAGCTGGACCTTTGGAGCTCTGGACCCGAAACCATGCGGTTTGATATAAACAGGCAAATTTGAGGCAAAGCCGTTTGAAAAGCTTGGGCCTGTTTATTAAGACAAGAACAACCGAAGACAAGGCCCCAGGATAAGCCCAGGACCTCAGCAGCAAATCAGACTACCTGCGCACAACCCACACCATTCCCTGGGATACAGAGCCCACAGGAAAGAGCAGGATGCTCAGCACCCAGGGGTTTTTATAGGCTCTCAAAGGGGCAGGATTGGTGCGTTTTTGATCCGGTGGATGATTGGTCCTCCTTTTGGGCCCTGATTGATCCATAGGGTGGTGCATTCCTAACCAATCACTCTGGAAACTCGAGGCACCATTGGCTTGTTGGTTCTCCCAGTCACAGGTGGAGCTGGTGACATCCCTCCTCCACCCACCCCATCCTCCCTCCCTGGATTGACAGCTACACACACATAACTAACACCACATATAACTTTGTAACTTATTATATTAATTATAACAATTCACTACAGTACAACAATTCATTACACTAACAATTCAATTAAAACAATTAACTATTATTAACCCTGCCTACTAAAACGAATTTATTTATAACAGGGCAGCGTTGCATTTACACCAAGGGAGGGTCTCGGACCCTCGGTGTGTTTGGTGTGAGCGGCCATGTGCTGGTGTCACACACGTGCAGGGTGTGAGCCACCGCCCATCTGCATGCAGAAACACGGGATTTTGACCACAACGTTTTGTAAAATTTGGCAGAGTTAACGTGCAAACTGAATTACTTTACACCCCACGTTTTATACAACCCCCTCTCACACTCTTGCCTATCGTCTGGCATCTGTGGGAGAGGATGAACGAGCAGCCTCACAGCTGCTGCCGGCCGCACTCCGCGGGCTGCAGCTTTGCGAGGCCTCTCAGCTCTGTATCGGGGGGTGCAGGCAGGCGCTTGTCACCAGAAACAGCGGAACTTCGGCCATTTCGGCGAATGTCACCAGAATAAAACAGTTTATTCGCCGAATGCTAAACATGCAAGTCAGATTCCGCCCTGAAGAAAAGGGAACGGGATCGGGTCCAGCGGAGTCCTCGGGGCCGGCCCGTCGGCAGCGGGGCGCGAACCCGCGACCCCCGGCCCGCCGGCCGCGCGGGGCCAATGGGCGGCCGCGCTGGTGACGCGGCAGGGCGGGCGGGGCGCCGGGCGCGGGGCCGGGCGGGGGCGGGCGCTGCCGCCGCGGGAGCGGCACGGGCGGGCGGAGCGGGCTGTTCCCGGGGCGGGCAGGCAGCTGCTCGGGTGCGCTGGTCCGCTGGGGTTGCCAGAGCTCCTCTCCAGGCTGCTCCACGAGGACGCGCTTGACGCTCGATCCCTTTTTATAGACACTGATATTCTCCCCCCTTGTTTTTTCGGGGTGCGCTGCGCCCAGCGCCGCGGGCGCCCGCTGCCCTGAGCGCTGCCGTGCCGGGAGGCGCGGGGGGCCGGGGCCGCGATGCGCAGAGATGGGGCCTGTGGCTGCTCCCGCAGGGGCTCGTAGTGCCCGCTCGGCGCTGAGTGCCCGGGTGCCGGGGAGGTGCGTGTAGGAGAGGCGCCAGTAGCGCTGGATTTTATCCCGTTGTAGAGGTGCAGGCAGAAAGGGATTCAGGTGTGTTGGGGTGTAGTTTTTTTTTCTCGTTGCGTACATCAGCTTGTTTGCCCCTTCCCTCCCCCCCTCTTTTTTTTTTTCTTTTTTTTTTTTTTTTGTGTGAGGTGGGAGCCCGGGGTGTCTGATTTTCCTCCAGCTGAGCAGTGCAGTTGCAGCGGTAGCGTTGAAATCCTGCTCCTCCTGTGAGCTCGAGCCAGGAAAATGGAGGCTGTGATAGAGAAGGAATGTAGTGCGCTCGGAGGGCTCTTCCAGACCATCATAAGCGACATGAAGGTAAGAGGCTGAAGGGTGTGGGGAAGCACAAGGGAGGGGAAGCGTCTTCCCACCTGGCCCGGCGAAACTTCGCCCCGGGCGGTGCAGCCGCATCGGGGGCTGGTGGCGGCGCGACCTCCCCGCGGCGCAGGGCGGACGCTGCCCCGCGGCTGGGCCGGCGTCCCCGCCGGCGGGACCAGCCTGGCAGAGCGGCTCCCTGCCTTCACACCCAGGGTTTGGGGCTTGCGAGTTGGTTGTAGGATACCACCGCTCCCTCCCTCCTCCTTCTTTCCCTCTTTTCTCTATTTGTCCTGCTCAAACGTGCAAGCTGTTAACCTTGCACCAGGGTCAGGGATTCGCCTCTTTATTTTACAAATATTTTTATCCTCCTTTTTTCTCCCCCGGTGTGGGCTGTCAGATCGGTAGCAGCATGAATGCAGCGGGGCGGGAGCGTGGTGCGGAGGAGCCGGGCACGGAGCGTGTCAGGCGTGGGGTGGGGCTCGGAAGGGCAGTGTGAGCATTTCGGTGCCAAGCTGATGGGCGCGATGGAAAAAAAAAATCTTTGCCTGGAGATGCTCAAAAGTTGATGTGTGCCTGAATGAAAATTGCAGCTCAGTCGGTTGTGTGGTATTATTTTTACGCTGTATATGCTCGTGGAGGTGGCATTTCCTTTTTTCTGTGAATGGATGCAAAGGTTTCAAAGGCAGGGGTCTCTCCACCAGCCACCAGAAATCTGACTGTGCTGATCCCGTCTCTGCCAAAGGGTCCCTTTGAGAGAGGCGCTCCCACTCTATCCTTGGCAGCCAAGGGCACTTCTGCAGGGTTTTCTTTGGGTGAGCCGGTGCCTCCCACCCTTCTCTCGTGGAAGTAAATAGCGTAAAAGCGTTGCTGTGTTCTGCCCGTCATGTCTCCCCCAAAGCCCAGGGCTGGAGGCGCCCAGCCTCCGGCACACGGCCGTACTGCAGAATACTGCAGTGTTCCCCTGGACAAGGGCAGCTTGTCTTCCTGCCAGGGCCGACTGGGAAGGATGCAGTTGTCGGGAGATGTTGAGGGACGTGTCAGATAATGGGGACTGCCGTAATTTAAAGGCGGCAACCGTGCACGCTGTGCCTTTCTCAGCCAGGGCATGGGCTTTCTCTGGGTGTTTTAATTCAGGTAGGGCTGGTGAGCCGCGAGGGCTGCGGAGAAGGAGCTGCCGGGTAGTATTGGAGGACAGGGTCTGCTCTAAGAGGGAGCCTGGCAGAGGTGAATGGCTTCTAGTGTATTTTTTTGGGAGGGTGGAGAAGCTTTTGGCACTAGAAGTTATTTTTTGGCAAGTGTTCATATGCACTTTCCTCTCAACGTATCTTAGGAGACATTTAATTAAAAGCGTGGCTTGTCAAGAGCAGGTAGGTTGCAAAGAGGAGGGGGGAGTCTGTGTATATCTGTCAAGATAATGCTGCAGACCTGGCAGTGGTGGTCCTCAAGCTCTCAAACCTCCTCGGATTTTTAATAATGACTGCACTCTAAAATAAAATAACCCCCCCAAAAAAGCAGGAAACGATCACAAATCCTGGAATAATTTAGTGGTCAGTGCAGGGAACAGGCAAGAGATGTTCTGTTCCAGATGAAATGTGGTTTTGGGTTTCATCACAGAGGGACACTGAGTATGTTTATTCTTACCTTCTTTTCATAAGTGATGCATTTGGTTTTTCTTGCTCTTGAGCCAGTGGGCCTCTGTGTGGATTAATTTTTTTTCTTCTACATGGGAATGCTGTTCATCAGAAAACATGTTGACATGAGCATATGGAGATGGGCACAGGTGTGAATATTTTTTTCTTAATGCTTGGTAGTAGTGGAACCTGTTTTGTGAAGTGGCAATTACTGAAGGGGGAGGTTTGGAAGGAATCACTGCAGATCTTTAGCAGCATGGTGGTTGTTATGGTTAAAAATAATCTGCTCATTATTTAGCATGAGTAGAACAAAGAATTTTTACCTGTAGTTAGATTTGATGCAGCTGATGCTGTACTACTGAGATGCACTAGGATTCTTTGTGAATTGTGCACAAAGGAGCACAACAATTTCTAAGGAAAAGTATCTATTTTTTGATAGTTAACCAGAACCTTTCAACAAATCATACCTTTAGTAGTAAAGTGAAAATTAGCATTTTAAGTGCTGTTTCGCGTAGTCAGATCTGTGTGGGCAGGCTTCTGGCAGGATCTTGGAGATGTTGCGTAGGGGTCTGCCCACGCATACCCAAGTGCTCTATCCGTGCCTGTTTCTCATCGCAGGCTGTGATCAAGGCCCCACATGCCCTGCAGTGCTGAGGGATTTGATGCAGCATCTGCCTTTTTTTAACCAAATGGTTCACGGGTTCTTTTATCGTATGTATTGCTCTACCTTAAACTTTGTTATAAAGATGGTAGGGTTAATCAACAGCTTCAATTACTCTGAAGTCTTGCCAGGGGATGCAGATGGGTGCTGCAGCTGAGGTGATGAAGATACAGTACATGCAGACTGATTTTTTTCTTTGTTCACAGTAACACAAAACTGGCTCAGGTGTACCTGTTAATTTTGAGCTTTGCCTGGTTTTGACAAGGTTACAGGAACTGGAATTACAATTCTGATCAATGTGATTGTGTCCATTTGTCTCCATATACTGTGTTAGATTTGAAACTTCATATGGGCAATATGTGTCAGTGTGACTAACATATCACATTTTTTGACAGCAAGATTGTGTCTTGCTGGCTGAGGTCTCTTGAATGGCATTTAATGTTTTCTCCATAAACCCCAAATTTCTCTCCACCCTCTATCAAAAATATTTTTGTGTCTAATACTCAACAATATCTGCTCCAAAACAACTCAGCATAAAGCTGAGTGATTTGGAGAAATTATGTTACTGAGTAAATATAAGAACAGTTAATAAACATCCCATTTGTTCTGCACATTATTGTATGTCACAGAATATTCTGAGTTGGAAAGGACTCACAAGGATCATTGAATCCAGCTCTTAGCACTGCAGAGGACACCCCAAAAACCCTACCATGTGCCTGAGTGCTTTGTCCAAATGCTTCTTAAAATATGTCAGGTTTGATGCTGTGACCACTTCCATGGGGAGCCTTTTCCAGTACCCAAACACTCCCTGGGTGGAGAAACTTTTCATGATATCCATTCTAAACCTTCCCTAACACAGCTTCGTGCTGTTCCCTTGGGTCCTGGCACTGGTTACCAGAGAGAAGAGATGCCCCTCCACTTCCCCTTGTGAGGAAGCTGTAGACTGCAGTGAAGTCGCCTCTCAGTCTCCTACAGGCTAAACAGAAAATCTGGAACTTCAATCCCCTGACAAAGGAAGTCCATTTTTTCCATGCCAAACTAGGGTCAGATTTGTTGAGTAATATGGTGGTGTACATGATGACAGGGTTGTTTGTGTAAAGTCCACAGTGGGAACTGTACTTGACCGTTGTGCTCTAGAATTGGATTTCTGTGCTTTGAGATTTCAGGACCTGATTAAAGAATCATAAAGGTGGGAGTGTGTGTGCCCATCCCATCCTTATTTTGATTCATTGTCACAGCCCTGATGTTTCCTATGATACATCACTGAGCATGTGGCACTTAGGATTTGTTACACCCTTATGCAAGATCTTTTTCAAAGCAAAGTTTATAAAAACAGAACTAAAATGTGCGTGTCCCCTCAGAGGAGTAGTCCTGTGTGCTACGTGCAGACACTGCGACTTGTTTTTGAATGCAGCGAATTTTCTGTAGCTCCCTGTGGGAAGGGAGTATTTGATCTGAATAGCTTGTAACTTGTTTCTTGCAATTGAGAAATGAGATGCTGCAATGTGCTGTTAATTTCAATATCTCTTTTAGTGCAAAGTAAATAATTTCAGTTAATTTTTGGGAGGGCCTGTTGCAGATGGATTTCAAAAGAACTTCTCATGCTGAGCAGAGTTTTTTATGTTTTTTTTTCCTTCTGAGTTGATTTTATATTCCTTTTAATCACATTGTTCTCTGTTATCCTGAAGAAAAAAAACAGCACCTCTGAAAACATGGAAATTGGTTGTGTTTGTAGTTCATTACTTGCTTGATGGTGTTTCTTTGGCTTTTAGCATTCTCTTTATTTGTCTTGCCTCTTCTGCCAGTATGTGTTTTGACAGAGCAGGGGCTTTCTGTGTATGTACAGCACCTGACACCTGTGGTGTGGGCTTGGGAGGAAGATGAGTAATAAGCAGTTGGATGAACACAGGTTGTTTGTGACTTCATTTGTATCAGAGGATTTACTAAATTTTTATGGGTCAGATGTGTATTACCAGTTAGTCTCATTCATCTCCCTGCATGTGAGGGATGTGCAGGTATTATCCTGAAACAGTATTCCCAACAGATGTGTGAGTTTTTGAAAAAATTCAGAAACTTTTATTATGTGTGTATGTGCCTTATTTATATGTGTTTAGCTGACAGTGCAATAAAATAATCTTCTTGCTTCTGGCAGTAACCTCTACTATAATACACTAGAGGAGTTGCTGGGACTCCTGGCCTAGGCAGTGGTGGACCTTTTCTTTCAGCCATGCAGAACTCTCGGTTAAAAGAGGAGAGAGAGACATGAACAAATGGGCATAAGAGACATTTGTGTTTTTGCATCCTCTTATCTGCTGTTTGAAAGTGACCCGTGAGAGGCAGTGTTTTAACTTGCTTTTAGAGAAGTTGGGACCAGGGGTGGCCACATCAAGGATTGAGAGTTGTTTGTTAAGTAGCCCTCATTGCTTGCAAGGAATGGCTTATGCAAATAATATAAACTGAGGAAAAATTTTTGATGGAACAACTAGAACAGCTGAGACAGTTACTATAGCAAGTGCAGCTACAAGTCCTCAGCATGTATGTTAATCCAAGGAACAGCACACATGTACCAGAAAACCTGGGCAAATTTATTTTACTGTGGCATGTTGTAGTGCAACAGCTTTTCCCCAGCTGTGCTTTATTTGAAGCTTGAGATCTCTGTGGAGATTAGGAGTGTTCAGTTGGATGATTTTAAGGGTTAGTTTCAATCC